CTGGGGGAGGTACCTGTTCATTCTCAGCCCTGGGGGAGGTACCTGTTTGTTCCTCAGCCCACGGGGAGGTACCTGTTTTATTCCTCAGCCTTGGAGGAGGTACCTGTTTTATTCCTCAGCGCTGGGGGAGGTACCTGTTCATTCTCAGCCTTGAGGGAGGTAGCTGTTCATTCTCAGCCCTGGGGAGGTACCTGTTCATCCCTCAGCCCTCAGAGGTACCTGCTCACTCCACAGCCCTGGGGGAGGCCCCAGTTGCTCCTCACAGGCCGTACCGTGTGACCATGGGCCGACCAAGGGGTGACCAAGTGGCCCCGAGTTGAGCCCCACGAACTCACGAGCTCAACCTCAGGGTTTCAAGTCTCGTCTCTTGCGTGACAGTGATTCCAATTTACAAAAGCAAACCCATCAGACAGCAGCTACTTGCTGCTGTAACTCACACGTTGGAGGTTTCCTAGAGCAGCAGGAGCCTCCTCCTGCAGAAGGAAAACGCCCTGACCAGGCTGTTGTGCCCCACGTTGCACAGTAATCAGAGTCTGGAGGACTTTGTTCCCATGGCAGTTACACCTGCACTATCTGCTGTGCTTGTTCGCTTCCGGATGCAGCCTTTCCAGAGCCTGGCTTTAAGCTACACTCTTCATTCAAGCACAGGTCTGCATTAAATCAAGCCAACAGGAAAAGAAAAATCAGCATTCAGTCTTCACCACCCCACTCGAACTCAATCGTAAAAACAAAAAGTCAGATCAACACACACATGTCTTGGACAAGCAGACAGTAAACAAAGAGATCCCTGGATGAGACACGCGGCCGCCGGGGACGAGGAGACAGTGGGATTTGGGAGGGTTCCCACCACACCCTCCCCCCCCCCAGTGAGGGCTCTGAAGGTGCACACACGACCAACACGAGGCTCCGGGTGCTTCTCCAGGCGGTGGAAGCGCTGGTGGGAAGGGCCGGGCTGTGCCTGGGAGTGGTGGCTCAGGCAGCCAAGGACCCGCAGAGCCGACCACAACAGCACAGCCCTGCTGGGAGGAAGACGTGGGACCTCGGCCCTGTGGGCTCAGACACTTCCCGTGGCCACTGGGAGCCCAGACCCCATTCCTGGACTGGGAACACACACGGACAGGCAGGGATGTGGCTGAGATGTGGCCCCAGGCACCCACAGCTCGAGCAGGGCAGGCAGAAGCCACAGTCCCACTCTTACAGGAAATTGAGCCCTGACTTTTTAAGCCCCCCCCCCATCAGTCAGGATTTAACTACAAGTTTTGTGTGTGTGCCTGGGGTTTTTTTCTTCCCCTTCCCCTCTTAAAAAAGGTGCAATATTTGCCCAAATGCAGGAAGGCAGGACAGAACGTGGGAGAGCTGTCACCATGTGCCCCAGAGGTACCAGCCCAGGCCGAGGGCTGTCCAGCAGGGCTGGGGACAGCCAGGAACTCCCCCCGACCACCAGGATGTTCCCCCGACCTCGGAGAAACGAGCCCCGTGTTGGTTTTGGTGACAGGCCCAGAGGGGCTTTGCTCAGGTAAAGCCTTTGCATCCCCATCCAGCTTTACCTGAGCAAGAGCCGGCGTTGGACGTTTCCCTGGGAACATTCAGCTGGTCTCAGATACAGTAGCGGTGACTTGGAGGCTCCTCCTGCTCCAGGCAAAGCCCCTTTGTGGTGCCAGAGGAGGGTGGGAGTGTCCCCGGCCATGTCCCGGCCCTGGTGCCCGTCCAGGGGGAGGAGGCTGGGTCTGTGGGATGGCCGAAGTATTTACAGGGGTTTGCAGCAGGTATTTACAGTCCCTCTGCGGAGCGCAGGCCCACTGTCTCCTCCTCCAGCCCTAGTCAGTCCGGGGTGGGCTTCTTGAGGGAGAAGGGCCGGATGTTGAAGTGCCTGCTCAGCTGGCTCACCTGGGGACGGGGCACACACAGGAATGGGTCAGCCAGGCTGGCAGGGCCGAGGGGAGAGGGCAGAGAGCCAGACCTGCTCCCGGGAACACGCCCCTGCCGCCCTCCTGCACTCCCCTGTGCCCACCCTGCACGCTCCCCACGGATCTGTGTCCCTGGTGTCGGGGCTGGCCAGGCTCTGGATCCACAGGGAGCAGCCCTGCTGCCTTCCCACACCTCCCCAGGTAACAGCCTGGCCCACCTGGGATCAGGCTCACTGCTGTTCCTGGCCCACCTGGGATCAGGCTCACTGCTGTTCCTGCCCTCCCGAGGGCCAGGAGTCAGGAATGCTACTCTGAGCCCAGGCCTGCAGGATTTTCCCCCTCACATTTTACCCCGCTCCCTCTCTGCTCCTCCCAGCATTGCTTTCATTACTTTGCTGAAATTAATTTGATATCTCAGATTTCTATATTAAAAACATCCCTGAATCCATTCAAACTGGGGGCCGGATACTTCCCGTGGAAGGAGGCTGAGCTGGGAACAGAGGGTTTGTTCCTAATCACCCCTACCAGATTCGGAGCAGTTTGGGGTTATGCCCCAGTCACAAAGCCTTTAAAGGCTCTTCAGCTCTAAGTGACTTTTATCCTGGAAGAAGGGGATGGATGGGCCCCTGGAAAGCCAGAGAGAGGGAAGGAGGGGAACAGTCTCCAGGAGGTTCCTGGGAGGGGATGGGCAAAGGTGGGCAGGAGGATTTCCCAACCAGTCAGTCCCATCTCCAGCTGTGATTCCAAGACCAAATTTCTTTACGTTCCTTAGTTACTAAAATCCCTGTTGCACAGGAGCCTCTTTGTCCTGATTGGAAAGACGGGACAATCTGGCTGTAACTCCTGGCTGGAATTACAGCTGGAACTCGACTCTGAGGCTCCACGTTGGAGCTGGGCTTCCCAGGAGAAGGGGCTTCCCAAGGAGGGTGTCCCCACCTTGGCAAGTCCCAAGTTCCTGATGGGACTTGGGTCTTCTACAAGTTTGTTTTCCGTCTTGATCAAAACTCAGGCAGAGCAAGAGGAGCAAATCCCTGGATCTCAGCCCTGACAGCAGGGGAGGTGGCCTTGCAGTTCCAGTGTTCCCACTTTCCCTACCAGGGACATCCCTCCTACATCCCGGCTCTCCCAGCACCTTGGAGACCTCACTGGGAGACCTCAGAGCTCCTTCCAGCGCCTGATGGGGCTCCAGGAGAGCTGGAAAAGAACTCTGGACAAGGGCTGGAGGGACAGGACACAGGGAATGGCTTCCCACTGCCAGAGGGCAGGGAGAGATGGGACATTGGGAAGGAATTCCTGGCTGGGAGGGTGGGGAGGGGCTGGCACAAGTTGCCCAGAGAAGCTGTGGCTGCCCCTGGATCCCTGGAAGTGTCCAAGGCCACGTTGGACGGGGCTTGGAGCACTCTGGGCTAGTGGGAGGTGTCCCTGCCCATGGCAGGGGGTGGCACCGGATGAGTTTAAGTTCCCTCCCAACCCAAACCATCCCGGGATTCCAGGGTTTGTTTCCAGCTCCCACGACACATCCCCGGGGGTACAGCATGCCTCAGACCCCTGCAGCCCTGCAGGGATCCAGCCCACAGTCCAGGCAGCCCCGGGGCAGCACCCCCGGGCCGTTCCCACCCGCGCTCCCGCTTTCCCGGCCCTTCCCATCCGCACTCCTGCTTTTCCCCACCCCATTCCCCGCCCCGTCCGGCAGCAGAGCAGCGGCCCCCGAGCCCCACGTACCACCAGCACGCCGTAGTGGATGTGTGCCAGGGTGAGGAAGGCCGTCAGCAGGTAGAGCAGCAGCGTCTCGCTGTGGGCCGCCAGCCCCGAGGCGACGAGCAGCAGCGCGGCCGCGATGGGCAGCAGCATCCAGTGCAGGGGCCGGCACCTCGTGCTGCTCATCTGGCACACGATCAGCTGGCACTGGGGACAGGGCACGGCCTGAGCACGGGCTGGGCTCCCTGAGCCCCGGGGTGCTGTCCCCAGGGCACGGGGGATGTCCCTGTGCTGGCACTGCTGGGGCACCTCCAGTGCTGGGGTAGGTCTGGGCTCCTCAGACAGGAGACACAGGGAGGGGCTGGAGCGTGGGCAGGGAAGGGAAGGGAGCTGGGAAGGGGCTGGAGCAGCAGGAGGGGCTGAGGGAGCTGTGGGAGCTCATTCCAGAGAAAAGAGGGATCAGGAGGGACCTTTTCCTGCCCCGCAACTCCCTGACAGGAGGGGGGAGCCGGGGGGAAGTTGAGCTCTGCTCCCAGGGAACAAGGGACAGGAGGAGAGGGAATGGCCTCCAGCTGTGCCAGGGGAGCCTCAGGTTGGATATTGGGAGAATTCCTGCATGGAAAGGGCTGTCCAGCCCTGGTACAGCTGCCCAGGGAGGTGGTGGAGTCCCCATCTATGGAGGGATTTAAAATCCCTGTGGATGTGGCACTTGGGGACATGGCTCAGTGTGGATCAGCCTGGGCAGTGCTGGGGGATCGGCTTGACCTGATGATCTTAAAAGCCCTTCCCAACCTCAAGGATTCTGCAAATCTATGAACATGCAGCTAGATCAGATTCTGACCAAAAAAATCAGTCCCTGCCCTTTTACATTTACCCCCAAAAATGAAGCAGGAGCTCCCTTCCCATCAGCACTTTGCTGTCCACAGCACAGAGGGTGCACGAGCCTCTGAGAACACTCAATTTAACTAACTCTCCAGTTTCTCAAGCATAAAGCAAAAGCTGCTCACAGAGATGTTGGCAAAGGCTGTTCCAACCATGAAGTAGAAGAGCCTGGGCTGGACCTCCAGGATGTCAGAGGGGGACAGGAAGATCCACGTGGTGCAGAGCAGGAACAGCAGCACCGGGGACACGAGGGGCAGCAGGATCTCATACACAGAGTGGTGCTTCAAGGTGTTGTTTTTATAGGCCCTGGAACACAAGGGAAGAAACAAAAACACATGGAATCAATGGGAAATTCCTGGTGCTGCCCCCAGGAAATACCTGAGGGGGCTCCAGGAGAGCTGGAGAGGGACTGGGGACAAGGGATGGAGGGACAGGACACAGAGAATGGTTTCAAACTGCCAGAGGGCAGGGAGAGATGGGAGATTGGGAAGGAATTCCTGGCTGGGAGGGTGAGGAAGGGCTGGCCCAGGTTGGCCAGAGAAGCTGTGTCTGCCTCTGGATCCCTGGAAGTCTCCAAGGCCAGGTTGGAGGGGGCTTGGAGCAACCTGGGCTGGTGGAAGGTGTCCCTGCCCGTGGCAGGGGGTGAGACTGGATTCATTTAAGGTCCCTTCCCACCCAAACCACCCTGGGATCCCAAACACTCACTTGTAGAAGTTGTACAGGCTCATGGGCAGCGTCACAGTGAGAGCACAGGCTGGAAGAGAACAGAGCCACGTCAGGGCCCTGGCAGAGGGTCCCTCACGTGCCCCTTGAACGTGCAGCTGCCCAGGCCCTGCTTTGAGGGTCCCTCACGTGCCCCTTGAACGTGTAGCTGCCCAGGCCCTGCTTTGAGGGTCCCTCACATGCCCCCCGCACGTGCAGCTGCCTGGGCGCTGCTTCGAGGGCCTTGCAACAAAAACCAGCCCCGAGGGCGCCCCAGGAGCGGCTGGGCACGTTCAGAAGTAGGTGCTCCTACCTCTGCTCCAAGGGCTGTAATTAAAACTGAGGTCTGCTATAAATTAAAGACATTTCCATTTGAAAGAGCTGCATTAATGAGCCCGGTGTTGTGCTTTAGACGGGGGAGAAAGTTTAATTATAACACAGTTCTAACGGGACGTGAGGCGAGTGCAAACGCCACGAGTGATGTGGCTGAGCACGAGTTTCCAGTCTTCATAACAAAGGCAGTTTGCAGCTTCTCCAGCTGTGTGCAAACACTTCCAGTGCCCACAGTGCCAAAAAGTCGTCATCACAACCTGACAAACCACACAAACCACCTGAATGACTGAAAGATCTACACCCCAATCAGAACCATCAACCACTGTACCCATGACAGCCCAGCACAGCTCCTGCCCTGCTTATCCAGCACAAGGTATTTTAACACAGCTGGAAATATTCCTGCTTTAATAACCCAGCTCCTACCCCAAACCCTGCCCCTGTGGGCACTGGGCTCTCTTGTTCACACTGGAGAAGCACATTATTATTATTATTATTCACATGTGAAGTTACACGGCTGCCAGAGGAAAGCTCAGAACATCCACCTGATAGAAGTGCAGGCACTGCACTTAACACAGCAATTAACTTGAAACGAAGTAATTACAAAGAACACAGAAAATAAACTGAGCAGGAGCCTGTGAACGAGGCAAATGGCATTAAATGAGGTCAGCTCAGCTCTGCTCTTTGCAGCAGCTTCTTTGGACTGACCACAGGAGAGACAGGCTGGGCTTTTATTTCAGTTTTATTATTACCATTATTGTTCAATGCTCAGGTGGGTGGATGGAGGGCAGGATCCCCACACAGCAGAGCTCCCACCCACCTCCAGGGCTGCAACGTCCCTCCCACGCAGTGTTTGTGCTCTGGGTTGAGGGAGCCCCACGGCAGCAAAACAAGAGTGTCCTGACCCCCCCAAAAACAGCCCAAGGCTGGGGAGGTCCCACTGGGTGCCAAATCCCAGCACATGGGGCTTTATCCCCTCAAGACCCTGCTTTTATCACACTGGTTTTATCCCCTAAACACCCCCCACCCCCGGCTCTCACTGCAACCAAACTGAGCTCCCCCGGTGTGTGAAGGCAGCCCAGGCAGACGGGAGTTAAGCTCTCCAAAATAACTCAGCAGTGTTTTGCAAGGCTGGGAAAGGGCAGGCTGTGAGAACACCCTCCATTAGTCACCTCAACAACAGCCCTGGCAGCAAACAGAGCAGCGTTAGCACGGCATTAACATCGGCTTGGTTAAAAAGGGGGAGTTTAAAAGACAGGCTTCAACATGGAGCTTCTTACCAATAATCATTGCAGTGAATAGGTCTCTATATAAGAAATTAAACAGGAAAGGTGCATACCAGGCCTCAACTCCCACAAAGGCTGTCACTATGTAGACAATTGAAATGGTCTGAAAGAAAGCACAAGGACAGGCGGGCGTGAGGAACGCGATGGGCACGGTTAGGAGAGAGTGAGAATGTGAGAGTGTGAGATGTGAGAGTGTGAGCTGAGAGTGTGAGAGTGTGAGCTGGGAGCGTGAGAGTGTGAGCTGGGAGTGTGAGCTGAGAGTGTGAGCTGGGAGGGTGTGAGCTGGGAGTTTGAGCTGGGAGTGTGTGAGCTGGGAGAGTGTGAACTGGGAGTGTGAGCTGGGAGTGTGAGCTGGGAGAGTGGGAGGTGAGAGTGTGAGCTGAGAGTGTGTGAGCTGGGAGCGTGTGAGCTGGG